AGGATTATGTTCACTAAGAGCATCAATCACTGCTTGTTTAATAAGATCAATAGATGGTGTTGATCGTTGTTGTGTTATTGTATCAACTAGAACTTGTTTTTGTTCAGTAAATAAATGATTTAAAGCAATATTATCATTTTTATTGATTTTTGTAATATATTTTTCTATAGTTTGTGTAAGAATATCTTCTAATAGATTAAGTGTATCAATATCAAGTGTATTTGTCTGAGATTTATCAATATTTTTTGGCAATATTTGTTGTAATTCTTGATGTATTACTTGAATTAAAGTATGTTTGAGTTCTTTTGCTGATATATGTTCTTGAGATTCTAAAGTTTCTGTTACAATTTGTTTAATAACATTAATTGAAGATGTATTAATCGTACTAATATGTTGGTCAAGTAATTGAGCAAGTGATTGTTTTTGTTCATTAAAAATTTGAATTATTTCTTGTTTTTGATTATCTATTGTTGCTTCTATAGGTGTTTTTCTTTTTTTTTGAATTGATTTAACAAATGATTTTTTATTATTAGTAGTTTCTTGACAAAATTTATCAGTTCTTATCGTTTTATCCGGTGTCTGATTAGGTTTTTTATGTTTCAATGGAGTATAACGACGATGAAGTATCTGATTCGATATCTGCTGTTGTTGTTGTTTAATAGAAAGATTAATGTCAGTAGTTAGTCTACGACAATCAGTTGTTGTCTTTGGTCGATGTTCACGTGAAATAGATCGTTTTGGAGATTTCGAACGTTGACTACGAGGAGACGACGTTCTCGAAATATTTGCTGATTGACATCGAATAGATGCATCTTCAGAGGTAGAATAATTATTATAATTATATTTTAAAGTTTTTACACGACGACTCAAAACATGATATGTAGCAGAACCAATTTTTAATGAATATGATACATCAGAAAAATTCTTATTGTTTTTTGCCATGTTGAAACTAAAATGAATTGATTGTATATTTGATTATTTTTTTTTGCAGAAAAAACCAATTACCTTAACATAAGAAAAAAAAAAGAAATGAGACCATAAAAGAACAATCAAATGTTGTCTGAAGGGCATTGGAAGAAGGAACAAAAAATTCATTTATTGTCAAATGATGTGTTTCTTTCTTTTGTTAACAAAGAAATTAACTATACTATTCTATTCGATGACAACGAAAAAAAAAACAAATCGACAAGGTTAGTTACAAATAATGATTGTAATCTATGGTTTCCTTCAACATTCATTCACTTAGTAACGGAAATATAGAGTATTTATTCGTTTTTTTTTTCAATATTATGATATGTGTATTGTCAAGGTGACATAGAATATTTTTAACATTCATTTTAGTCGTATAAATTTAATTATGACTCTTATGTAAAACTAATTTTTCCAGTTATATTGGCAATATTTCATTTATTAATATTATGGTATGAAGTACTCTCTACTTGTACAAGTAGCTATGATTTAAACAATATGTGACTTGTATATAATTTGATAATTTATAATAAATATGTTCAATTCTATTTAAATACTTATGATGAAATTATTTGTTATTCAATCAGTCGGCTATTTTCATAACAAATACATTATTTTTCTTGTAGAATGGAAAAAAAACTATTCCTTACATCATTAACTATTCCTTTGTGTTTCGCAACGATAGATTACATCATCAATTGATGATATAGAAAAAGAATTACATTGTTCATCGTTTCTACTCAAATCAATAATCAATTGATTTAATGAATTTTTCATTGGAAAAATTCTATGCAATATTTATAACTCAATTATAATGTTGAACAATAGATTGAAGATATAAAACATGTTACATAAATTATATAGAATGCATGAACATAACATATATAATTGTCTGTGTTTGATATGGCTTCACAGAGTTATTTAGACAAAATAATCAAGATTTTTGTAAATGTTTTGTCTACCCATGTCGCACGTTTGTTTGTATTATTGTTGGTAGAGCTTACGACCTTCACTGTCCGCTAAAAATGATTGCAGTACTTTCTATCCGAATTCAAATTAACCAAGAAGAAAAGTTGCAGAATATATTTTACTAATGAAAACGCAGCCAGCACCTTTTATAATAAAAAGTTATCTCATAATTAGAGCCAATTTAAGCTCTCTGGCAAATTACAGATGATTTCAACGCATCACCATTATCCAAATATTTTGAAAACCAGCCAAATGTGTCTTTTTCAACGGACTTTAAAAATGCTTAGTCGTTTTGAGACAATATACAATAATTCGAAGCTAAAATAAGTCATTGGGTATAGCGCCCATTATGCCGATCAGTATATTAGTGGTAATTATCGTATGGGTAGCTGCTGTTCGATGCTTTATGGTTGTCAATGAATTATTTCGAAAAAAGCTGCTAAAGAAAAAAAAAATTCTGATTGATGCATTCATCAAATCATTTATCATTCTTAATGATTTATCCATTGAATCATATTCTTCCATAGATACAAAAAATATTGGAAACAACGGCTGTTCCAAAAAGAATGGATTATTCAGTATTTTACTAACATCTCTATTAATTTTTATAATTTTTTAAAAAGTAATTCGTTTTTTTATTCTCTACAAGAATCTATATATTGTAATCTATTCAAATGTAACATGCGTTTGCATAAAATGAAAAATGAATATTTTCGAAAAGCAGTTCTTTGAAAGTCCGAAAATGATGCTAACTCGACTAAGATCTTTTGTCATCAAAATGGTTTCTTGTCACTTAATACTATAGATAGAAGATTTATGAAACTTGTCCTATTCAACTGTCAACTTCACAAGATACATCACGTATTGTTCGAGCCAGTAAAATGATGCCGAAGGTCACAAGTACACATTGAAACAAGACAAGAAGTTGCCGATACGAAGTCGAGTTGAGCACAAAATAAGACAATAAGAATCCTTGATTTGACTTTTGATCACCATACCGCATATCAGTTATCTTATAGCTAAGTTATTTTGTATTTTTTTCTAAGTATAACAACTAAAGTTTTCACGAATGAATAATATTATAAATATAAGAAAATATAGAAACATCTTGATTTGTTATTTTAATGATACATTCATCACAAATAGCACATATGAAAAAAATACGAACTTGTAGGGTTTTATTATCATTGTCTTAACATATAGCGGATAATATTATTAAAACAAATAGAATGATGAAGAAATGATTGATAACAAAAATGATACAAAGAAAAAGAGAATATAAAAAATAGAACTGGGCACAGCACAACTTTCTCTGTCTTGTGCTCAACTCTGGTTTGAAGTTCGACTTAGAAATATGGCATATCCAAATCAAACACTAATCCAAAACTGAACGATGATATAAAACTTCATACCTATAAGAAGATAATTGAATCATGACTGACTGAAGAACAAATACAAACGACGAAAATTTGCAACCGTCGTGTTGCTATAGTTTTTGAACAGAGGACACGATATGAATCTTATTTTCAGAGTAAAAGTTGCTCAATATTGACAGTCTGTACAGCCTTCAAAACGAACGAGTCTGGGTAACTAATCGTACTGAGACAAATGAAAAAGATACGCTTAAAACGAAACTAATGTTTCCTCGAAAGATCATAGTTTGATGAGGTATCTGCTTCAACATGATGATTATTTTCGATCAAGACACAGTAGATCATGGTGAAGACATCCAGAGTATTCTTCTAGTAGCATTAAAATATGAAAGATAAGGTCTTTGGTGAAAATTAGACATTTCAAAAGGAAGGTACAGAATTTCACATTCATGATTTACCTCAACCATGGTGTCAGAATAAACTTTCCGTCTTGCATAGACATGAATTATTGGTCATCAAATAGTCCAGACGTATATTCAGTGGATGGCTCCCTGTTGGATGAATTTTCTCAGTCTATTAATTGCGAAAACTAACATCGAAAGAAACATTTTTTGAAAAATCAAAACGTGTACTCAAGGAAATTCGACAATATGTAGTTTTATAAAGTTATTCATCTCGTGCTGTTCATTTCAAGTGCGTCTAAGAAAATAAGAAATGTTATTTACATTAAGAGAAAAGCACTATTTTGTAGACGATTAACAGAGATGTCATTAAAATATGAAGAGGCTCATACTTTCTTACACACACATTATCTAAATGATTTCAAAGATTGAAAATTTCAAATAATTCAACAGTTATTTCACAACATATTTTAAGATTCTATCATCAATATCATTATCGTTGTTCTAAACAATTCATTAACAATAGCAAAACAGATGCGATAATCCCTATAGATAAGTATACAAGACATTCTATTTTACAAATACCTTTCTTTTGATTCAATCATTCATTCTTTATTATCAATAAAACATCTCCTGAATCTTTTTTTTTTCTGATTGCATGATTATCTCATTAAATATTTTAAAATGTTCATAATTAATCTGAATCGACTTGTACGTAAAAAATTTTTGCATATCTGTAATACATTCACAATGAAAAATACACGATTATTTTACTGTTACTTCTCTATTGAATTCAAAATAAAGACTAACAGAATGATGAATCTACTTTCAATCAAAAAAAAAAAACAAGAATACATCATTTTTCTTTAACAGATCTCATTTTCTATTCATGTTTAATATTGTCGCTATGATCTTTCTGACACTATATATACACAAACACAAGCAGATACATACACAGGTTCACAGGGAAAGTTTTTTTTTTGGAAAAAAAAACATTGGACTTTGATGCTTCTGGCACACCGTCGTGGAGAGTAATTATAACAACAAAAAAAGAACAAGTAACTATCAACAGCAAGAAGACAAAAAAAAGGATACATAAAGTAGACATTAAATAAGAACAAAGAAAGATTTATTTTCTAAAGATTTTTTTTTGTTTAAATAAACTAGAGAACATAAGTCATGCACATTATTGTTGTTGTTATATTTTTTTTTTGTATTCTATTTGACAGGTACCACTAAAATAAATAATTAAAAATTTATTATTATTATTATTATTATTATTATAAGATTATTTACCAAGATCATTACTATATTGATAATTAGCAACACGATCAAATTCATTTCGTTTATATTTTTCACGTACATTTGTATGATATAAAGATCGTGGTACATTTTGCATAAGTTTAAGAATTTGTTCTGCACGTTTATCTAATTCTTCACGTTTATATGGTTGATGTTTATAAAAACGTTTAACTATTTGTGGTTTATCTAATTGACGTGTAAATTTTAATGCTAAGAGTAAAACTGCAGCAGCTAACAATGAACCGGGCATTTGCTCTGATAAAATATCATCACATAGAACACATTCAATCATATATTTTGATAATGAATAAACAATAAAATGAAATGGTAAAAAACGAAGATAATAACAAAGAAAATGTATTGCTAATGGATATTCTATTTGATTTAAAGCATAGAAAAATAATAATAAAAGTAAAGAAAAAAAAGATTTCAACAAACCAAGTTCAAAATCAAGTTGTGTTAATAATTGTTTTTCACCTTGATTTAAAAGAAGAGGAGTAACATGATGTCGAGCATCGAATAAAGATAATAAAGAATTAGTATCAGGTACACGACGTGATTCAAGTTTACATGCAATTGTGAAGCAACTAGAAATTATATTTTATTTAGATTTCAATCATTTCATACGAATAACATCTGTATACTAGAGTAGTTCAACTTGTCGATCGGACGCTCACACAATAGTTCACTACATACAGTACTGATTTTAATTAATTTTAACTCCTCAATTATCGTAAATGGATGTATGAAGAAGAAATAATACGCAGTACTGGTCAAATATAAAACACCAACGTATTTTTAATTTTATTGCTGTGGTACCCAGCATTGAAATCACGTCTAAGTAACGGTTCGAGTAGTTAATGATGTTCCCTACTTAATCCATCCCATATCGAATTTTGTAGATAAACTATAAAAGGATTGTTTGTCAAAAACTAAACATAGTAATTTTCAGGTATCACAAGACTGTAACAAATAGTTTCTAAGAGTAACATCTTAAAGAGGACAAAACTGGGATACAATGAATAATGGTCACATTTCCTACAGTCTTCCCATAAGAACTTATAAGCATTTTTCACTAATGCTATGACAAATTTGTAAGTGAAGGTCCTAGGAAATGCTTTAACCCTCATTTCATTCAAGATTTAATTTTCTGTAAGCTAGTACTCTTCAAAATTAATTTTCAGTCTTCTGAATCTTGAAAATTATCGTCTATTCAAACCAATGTTCTATGCAGTATGAGAGTGGCGCCCTTCCAAGCTTTATAGTTATTGTACTACGTGTCAGACATGAGGTTGGTTTTTGTCTCTCAAAACAGAAGTTGATTTTAAATACTGGAAAACGAAATGAACTCATCTCTGCAACCTACTCTAAGTTTGTGTTCGCCCTTCCCGGAGAGTGAGAATAATTCTCATTTATAAAGCAACTTTATCTCTTTAATAAAACTTCAAGTTTCAAATATATAAATATTCTTACTTAACAGCTCGAAGTTGTAAATCGAGTTTTGTCATTTGATCATTTAAAAGTAAAATCCTATCAATCAAATGAATAGTTCGACAAAGTATAGCTAAAATTCATAAAATATTGTCTTATCAAAAAAAAAAACTTCTAAATTTGTTTACCTGCATTTAATCGATGATAATCATGTACAGAAATAATCCAATCAATAAGTTTACATCGAACTTTAGGTGTAATTAAAACCGTTGAATTACTACCTGATATTGCTATACCTTGAATTGGTTTTAAATTATTTGTTAATTCACGATGACGTTTCATTGAACGTAATTTTTCATTTTCATTTATAAAACGTTCTTCTAAACTAAGTAAATATTTCATAACTTCTTGTTCATATGATGTCGTTGATAAAATATCAAAAAATGGATGTGTCGCTGATTGCATTTCATTATTTACAGCTAAGAAAAAACAAAAATTTTCTAATAAATATATATATAAATATAAAATGAAATATTTACGATAAAGTTCATCATCCTCATTATCATCATCATCATCATTAATTGATTGATTATCATGTTCATTTTGTTTTTTCTTTCCATTTTCATCAATTGAAATTTTTGGTGTAAAATATTGTGTTGTTGATGTTGGTTCTGTTTGTATTAATAATGTATCATTATTATTTCCTGGATGAACAGATATAAGCATATCATTTAAACGTTCTTGAATATTTTCTAAATCATCTTGTATAATTGTACGTTTCATTGTATCAATTTTTTGTTCATATTTTTTATCATTATTTAAACAATTTATTAGTAAATTTTCTGTTGGGATAAGAATTGTATTTGTTGTTCGTTTTATATTTTGAGATATAATGGGTAAATTAGTTTGATTATTATTTTTAATATTTAATGGACGTGAAAGTATAGAACGATTTTGTCTTTGAAATTGTTGAAGATTTTGTAATGATTCATGATGACGAAAATTTCCTGTTGATTTTGAATTATCATTTATAGATTCCGTACAAGATGAAGTAAATGATGATGAACGGGATAACATATTATATAATAATGATTGACGCAAAAAAAAAGAAAATCCAAAAAATAAAATAAAATAAAAAAAAAAGAAAATTCAATGATCAGTTGAATTGAATTTCGCAGACAAAGACCAACCAATCGATGATGTGTGAATAGATTTTAGATAGGTTTTTTTTTTAGATGAAAAATTCAACATAAAATATTATAGAAGATTTTTAGGCTTAGAATTTACAAAATTCATTTCGATTGATTTTTATTTTTTTTTGTTTCAAGATAATCATGTTCATCGGTAGACTAACGACATCTTATGATTTAATGATAAAAAATTATACGTTATTGAAAAATCTTTTTTTTTATGCAAATTAGGCCGAAATAATTTCATCTAAAGTGTTGAAGTTTCAATAGAGTAACTAGGTTATTTGAATAGCAATAGAAATTTTATGATTTGAATTCAGTAATATTTTTATTTATTACAAAATGCGATTTTATTTTACTAAACACTCAATAAATAAAGATATTTCTTTGTTGTGTGAAACATCTTTAAATTATTTTCATACTGAGTATTGTTATATTTTATCATTTTCCAATTGAATTATCGTTTTTTTGTGCAAAAATGACTCATGTATCTTTTTTAATGATATTTTGCGTTCGAAAAACTACAAAGTCTAGTTTTAGTATGGCTTATCGAGACGAACAGTAAATCTAATCATCATGCAATCCATAGATGGATTCATTATTTTAGTGTTCTTACAAGATTATATGGTATAATAAAATGATGTCAGTTTAATTAGGAAGCAACCTTCATCGGTAGACACGGACTTCAAATTGAAATTTTAAAGGTTTTTTTTTATTTCGACTTTATGACCGCTTGATTATGTGGCTATGACTCTTTTTGTTGGCAATTCATCAGTATTAGAATGTAATACAATATTTGAAACATTATAATATGAAGATATAATATAATCATGTATTGCAAGATTAAAATGAAGGTCATTAGTTGTAATATAATCGTGCTTCACAAATCATTTTGTTCTTTCAATATTTTTTTTTATGTCGCTTCTTTTTTTTACTTTTCTTCTTTTTTTGTGCATCAAATTCAAAGCAATAAATTGCTAAAATATACATTCGAATATCATTCTTATTTTAAGTTTAAATGGACAACATCAGACTCAGTTGATAGAAGATTTCTTTGTTTTGTAGAAATTACATTGTATATAAACAAATTTAATTCAATGAAATAAAATACTTGTGATTATATCTAGACAAAAAAATCGATTAAAATAACCTATTTTATACTTGAGGTCGGTCGGTGATAAATATTTTTTTTTTTGTATAACAAATAATGAAATAAAATATCTTCTATCAAACATTTTTAGTTTTAACTCTTGAATAAACGAATATCAATACGTTGTTCTCTGACACAATGTTTTAATAATAAAATTAAAATATGAATGAAAGCTTCACTGTTATATTGATTTTTGCTTTCTGTTGAATTTTGATACAAACGGCGATATAGCTATAAGTGTAAGGCAGACAGCTGAGTCACTGTTGCTGTTGACACAAACGATTATCAAACACTTCAAACGCTGTTAGTGCACAAAAAACCGATAATAGAATATAAATTATTTTCGATTCGCATAATCATTTTTTTTGACATTGCTGTTGTCTAATATTTTGCAAACGTATTTTCTACCATTGGTATTGCTGACACACAATAAGAGATTTTAATATTATTAACTATCACTACCGTCAAAGTTTAAAACTTCTATAACCGCTGGAAATGCACTTTCAAGCATTACCATAAAGGAAGGCAAACACGTTAGAAACCTACGGCCATGATCGGTTTTTTTCTATTATTCAAATCAATTCATGGCTATAGAAGCTAACATTGTTAATGTATCTTGCATCAACAAAGGTTCTTCATGTGCTTACCGGCTTCACCGTAGAAGTCCTAATAACTGCCAACATTGGAAGAAGAAACGATTCAGCCGGCATCTTCCCTAATTTCATTGCAATGTTTTACAACAGTTTATGAAAGATCGGTAAAAAATTTCGTGTTTCTTTTCTTTTCTTTTTGTTTCTGTTGACTTTAGTTTGCATAATGTTTCGAAAAGTGATGTATAGTTAAAGAACAGGGAATATTTGTTCTTACATATTCTGTTTCCTTTTCTAGTTAACAACAGAAACCAATAATAACAACATTTCTTTTTCTTTTTACCATGTGACACTTTTTATTTTAAATATATATGAAAAAAGAAAAATCTCATACAAAGTCGTTCTTCTTATTATTCTAGACAAGAAATTTTGTCAAGAAGAAAAAACGTTAAACTAATAAAGTATGAGTAATTTACAATTGGATTCAAACGACAACATGGTAAATTTATATAATAAACGACTCAAAGATATTAATATTAATGACATATGTAATGGTACACTCAGAGAACTTACTCAGTGGCGTGATGATTGTCATAAACAAATCGATGAAATTTATCAACGAAAGTCCGAAGAACTTGATATTTATATTAAGAAAATCAAAAGTACGTATGAAGAAAAAAAAATAAATGTACAAACAAATATACATCAACTTAATGAAGAAAATAAAAAGAATACAGAAAATAATGATATAATAAAAACAATAATTCAGTCTATTGAACAAGATTTAAATGATATTGAACAGCTATCTATTAAAATTAATACACGATTATTAACTATAGATGATAGTTATGTTCATATTGAAAAAGAATTTAATTTTGAAAATCTTTCATCAAATTATTCAAAATTTAATTATTCAACTACCAGTTCATCAGCTTTAGCAAGTAATAAAGAATTTTTATTAATGCATCAATCTCCAAATTTATGTTTAATTGATCGAGATTGTAAAATAGTAAAACAAAATGTTTGGCCTCATGATTGGATTCGTGATATGTGTTGGTCGGAAACATGGAAGTGTTTTATTATAATAACAACAAATGATATTTATTGTATTAATGAAATTTTAGAATATTCTACTTCATTAATTGATGTTGTTAAACAAGTTTGGTTTTCTTGTACGTGTTCAAATCAATCTCTTTATCTATCAACATGTGAATGGGGTTCATCAATATTTCAATTTAATCTTTTACCTTCATTTACATTAATTAAGCAATGGGAACCTCCATTAACATGTGAAAAAGATGATGGTATTAATGATATAAAGTGTAACAATGAAACGCTTGCTTTAATGATTAATGATTCAAAAACACATCAAAAACGCATGGAATTAAAATCGACAGAAACATTTGATACAATTTGGTTACTTCATTTGAGTATTGGATCTGATATTCGTTTATTTACTTGTTGTCTAATTAATTATAATGAATGGCTTGCTGTTGATGGAACTAATTCACATGTTTATCATATTTCAAAAGATGGAAAATTTAAAACCAATATTAAGTATCCTTCAACGCCTTATCGAGCAAATCTACTTAGTTCAAATATATTAGCTATATCAGCTGAAGAACATTTAAATTTATATCGATTTTCAATTTAGTTTTATCTATAATAATTATTAAGATTTAGTTTTTAATAAAATATTTTTACTTTTTATTCACGATTTACTCAAATAAACAATAATTCATATTTTAATGAGTCTTGAAATAAATTTTTAGATAAAAAAGACTAAACATTTAACAGGTCTCAAATGACAAAGAAGTGATTATGTGTTTTTTTTTCTTTTAATCAACACTTAATTTAAGTCAATGGACTTCGTAGTCGTCACATTTTTTTTAACTTGATATATGAATAAACGAACAAGAAAAGTGTCAATCTATCATTCTAATAAAATTAGTTTAATGAAAATGAAGAGACAAAGTCTTGAAACTTAGGTCAAAATTTTATTCGGATCAAAAGTTTGACTAGGGTTATATACTCACATAGCATTTTGTGTTCTTTTCTGTTTTCGAAATGTTATAGAAGTTTATCATGACATGCAATCCGATCTTGTTCTATCTGTGAATGTATCTTATAAGGTTATTTTATTAAACATAATAAACAATGAAATATCGATTGTGACATGATTCTTTTTTTTTGTCTATGTAACATTTTTATCAAAAACAAAAGACAGCAACAGTTCTATATTTAAATAGGCAAGAAAAAGTCTTAGACATCAACTAGTTAATGTAATTTATAAAAAGAAAAAATAATTTTTCATTATATATTTGTCATTTGATTTCTCTTCAGTAACACAGAAATATATTTACCTACTTTTCAGTAATTATTAATGATCATGCCATTCTTTTGACAATAACACATTTGATATCATTAGCTAAAAAAGTATTTTTTATGTATCAATCATAGAAAATGCGTTTTTCAATTTATATTTTATTCATTATTCAAGTCTTTTATTTTTTCAGACCGTTTCTTTTGTGTTTGTTTAAATATCTTTTAATAATTTCATCCAGTGCAATCGAGGTCGAAAAACTTCGTCAAATAAACTTACATTTGTCGGTTCTGTTTGGTCTTTCGCTGATTTTTTTTTTTGACGGCATCGTCATTCTAAAGCTGTCTAATATTGTTTGCATTAAGTGAAAAAGTGACAATCGTACTTAAGATTATAAAAAAGAAAAGAAACAACCGTTATAGATTATTCTATATTCTTCCTTTTTTTCTTTTTCCCTCTGTTTTCTCTCTTTCTTTGTATTTTTCATAAGAAAAGTCACAAAGAGGCATATGCAGTCTTTATTGATGTAGTACATTTTAAAAACAGGTGAGAACAACAGCAGCAGTAGCAAAGAACAGAGAAAAGAAGAAAAAAAAGGCGTTTGCGTATCTTTCTACTTCAAAAAAAAAAAAAAAATTTCAAGTGAATAAAAAACAGCGATGGTATAATTAAACATCTAATGATTGCAACAAATGTTGCCTAGTCAAAAAATAAGCGTCTCTTAGATAGTAAGATTATAATATTTCGCGCGTTTTTTTTTCATAAAATTCACTTTCATCATGTCTTTTATCTTAATTTCCGCTTCTTCTTATTACTATTTTATT